AAAAAAAAAAAAGACCTCTTGAAAGTGCTGTAAGAACAAACATGTCTCCTTGAAGACTAAAGTACGCCTAAACCAAGCCATGGTATTTTCAATCACCTCACATGCATGTAAGAGCTGGACAATGAACAAGGAAGACCAAAGAAGAGTTGATGCTTTTGAGTTGTGTTAGCATAGAATACCGAAAGTACCATGGACTGCCAAAAGAATGAACATATCTGTCCTGGAGGAAGTGCAGCTGGAATGCTTTCTGGGAGCAAGAATGGCTAGACTTTGCTCACCTACTTTGGTCATGTTGTCAGAAGGGACCATTCCCTTGAGAAAGATATCATGCTTGGTAAAGTGCGGGGTCAAGGAAAAAGGAGAAGGCCCTCAACGAGATGGACTGACACAGTGGCTGCAATGATGGGCTCAGGTATAGCAAGGCTGGGACAGTACCAGGGAGTATTTCATTCTCTTGTACATAGGGTCACTATGAGTGGGAGCAATTCAACAGCACCTAACAACAACATAGCAACATCTCATTCATGAGGCCTTTTCATAATTATTTGCATAGACACACCATAATTTAAGAAATCCTCTGAAATAAGGTTATTATTATTATTATCTAAGGGTGGAAGAGAAGGGTAGGGTTTCATGTGACGGAACCTCTTCCAGCTCTGACACAAAATGTTCTCTCAAGTGAACAATATTCTAGAATGTTCACTGGGAGTTATTAAGTCTGAAAATTTAAAAACGTCCAAGCATCTATTTTTACTTCATTAAATGATACATACTAAGTTTGCCAGTGTGGCTTCAGGATCTTTCTTTGGTTGTATGTATATATGTTTAAAGTTTTGCTTTTTACAGGTATGCATGTATTCTCCTTGATTTTCATTCTACCAATGAATGAAACATGGTTAGAAACAGAACCATACTGAACCTGGAAGGGATTCCTCACTGCAGGTGCCCAGCAGATTAATTTTCCTAAGACTCCTCAAGCACTCTGGTAATTCATTTATTAAATATGAATAGTTTTTTTTGTGTGTGTTTTTCCTTCTGCTCCCTATTATCAATCTCTTACATCAAGCAACAATTCTGATTCCCAGATAATTTATTAAAGTTGCAATACACCTCCATCTTTATACAGCACTTACTCTGGCTTTGTTAAACATAATCCCTCTGGTTACTAACTCTAGCATTAATTTCTAGGGCAGAGTACAGCACAGGAATCCTTGCACTGGCAATTCCTTGCATTAGGAAATTGATCCTTATTTAGCAAATATTTACTGAGTCCCTAACTAGTGCCAGGAACTATTCTAAAAAAAAAATCAGCTGCTATCAAGTTAATTCTGACTCATGGTGAGCCCCTGTGTATCAGAGCAGACCTGTGATCACAGAGTTTTCAATGGCTAATTTTTTAAAAGTAGATCACTAATAAGTGACCATCTAAGATGCAACAAGTGGTATCTCCTGTTTTGGAGCAAAGAATGAAAAAAACCAAAGACACATGGAAACAATTCAGTCCAAGGGGCTAGTGGACCATGTGAATCTCAGCCTACATGACCCTGAGACCAGAACTAGATGGTGCCCAGCTACCACTGTCAACCACTTGGAAATGGATCAAAATAGGAGGTCCTGGGAGAAAAATGTGGAATGAAACTCAAAATTATTGGGGGTGGGGTGGGGAGGAAGACTAGGCTTACTGATCTGATAGACTGGTGAAACCCTTGAGACTATGGCCCCTAGTGACCCTTTGAACCTGGAACTGAACTCACTCCCATGGCTTCCAGCATATAAGGTGAACATTTCATCACGTAGATACATTCCTTAGAATAATCAACCAAGGGAGACCAGAAGGGCAGAATTGGCACAGACAGATAGCTCAGGGCAAGAATACATAGGAAAAAATGACACAGGAAAAGGCTAACTAAATAGAGGAAGCAGGAAGAAAGCTGTTACATTGCAGGCATTGCAATCAGTGTCATGCAACAAAATGTGTATTAACTATTGTATGGAAAATGAATTTGCTTTGTAAATTTTCACCCAAATCACAATTGGGGGGGGGGAGTCAATCACTAGGCCTTTTTTCCCAGGGGCCTCTGAGTGGAATGAACTGGCAACCCTTTGATGAGCTGTTTGCACCACTCCAGTCATTTTTCAAGGCAGGTGTGAACAAAACGAACAATTTCCTTGCTCTCAAGGAGTTTATAGACTAAGGAGAGAAACTAACAAACACAGATGTCTGACAGCTCTAGAGGGCATACAGAAAACTGTACAGTAAAAAGATAACTGTGTGGGTGTCTTTAGCTGAGGTGTCAGGGAAGACTTCTCTAATGCGGTAAGTGATCTTGGAGGCAGAATTTCTTTAACCATTTTCTGTATCCAAATAGTAATTCCATTTTCATCATCTAGTGAGTAGACAGGACTAACACAGGAAGCAAAAGTTGTGATGACCAGCAACCGTACCTGCAATGTGTGGCCTGGTCGGATACTGTTCTAGAAGTAGGTTGGGCTTTTCGAATCCATCCACTTGTTGCAGGCGACTTTCTAGTTCCTTAAGCCTTAATTTCTTCATTTGTTTTTTAAAAAGTGTGGTGTGGCAGGGTTTAACAGCACTGGATCTCCGAGGAAATCTCTTTAAATAGCATCTTATTTCCTCCCCGCCGCGCCGGGTCCGGGTAGGTTGGTTGTCGTGCTCCACGAAAACACACGGTGCACCTAGCCCGCGCTGTTCCCGCCCTCCTCCCTCTCTGGGCCAGAGACAGGTGGAGTCTTCGACCCCGTGCTTTGGCCAGCTCGCCTCCCAGATATCACGCGCCGCCCGAAGGCCCCTTGGAGGCCAGCGCCAACTGGGGCCTGAAACTGATCCAAGGTCTTTCGCAGGTCTTTCGCGCCGTGGGTCACACCTCGGGAAGCAACCCAAGCGTCAGCTGGGGCCGGAAGCCCCGCCGCGCACGCGCGTAGGCCTCCACTGCCTGATGGACCTGCGCCGAGCTGAAACTTGGGCTAGGCTCTCGGGTTCCGCTGGTAACTCAGACGCCTCATCCTCCACAACCCCAACCCTCACCCTTGCGTCCGCACTAAGGGCAGAGATCACCCAGGGTGGGCCTTCTCAGCCTGTCGCGTGATTATCCTCTAGCTTTTCCTTTAGTTCCTGCAGGCTGTCAGAGAATTGGGGGGCGGAGGGTGAAAGTAAGTGTGAACCTTCATTCAAATGCTTTCTCTACCTCCAGTTTCCTCTCTGAAGTAGCGATCTCCACTCTCCGTTGCCTCCACTGTAATTCGCGTGTCCTATTTTAATTTCACTTTTTTTGTTTACCTCTTTTTAGGTTACCTGTGTCTCTTAACTCTCACAGGAGTGATGATGTCAGAAAAGCCCAAAGAAGATAGAGTTTAAAAGAAGGAATAGGTAGTGGTGTCAAACTCTGTAAAGAAGTCAGGTATTTTAATAGAGTAAGAGTAAAAGCAAATTGTAGTGGTCTGTGGAATGAAGTAAAAAGTAAGAGTAAATGTGAACCAAGTTTCTTAAGAAATATGACTAAGAAAGGAAGTATGAGAATGGTTAATGCTTAGCTAGAATAAGGTTGGGAGGAGGGGAAGCTTCTTTTTTGTTAGTTGGAACATTTCTAAATTCTGGCAGCATAGACGCAATAGAGAGGGAGGGGTTTAAGATACAAAAAAGGGGGTATTAGATGGAGTTAGGATACTGTGGTGGTTAGGTTTGTGTGTCATCTTGGCTAGGCCTGGTTGAGTGGCTGGGCAGCTGGATGTAATTATTCCCCATGGTAAGATTGGTAATTAACTTCATGGTGGAATGTATTGGAGCAGCTGAGTAGCTGCTTTAGTGATGTAGTCTGCTTCCCGTATGTAAGCCACAGCTTTGGGAATGGTCTCTAGCTTATGGTACGCTTGAACCCTGCACGTAGCCCAGTGGTTGTTCAGCAGCCTGCCATGCTCTGTCTATCCTGGGACTTTCAATGGATTTAAATCAATGGCCTGCTGTGTTGTTTGGTAATATCGGGACTGTGCCATTTTATTTGTTGACCTCGGGCTTGTTAGCCTCAGAAGCCTGAGTGTTGAGATACCTCTAGCTTCACTGGGCCGGGAGCAAGAGGCAGAGCTGAAGCCCAAGGTCAAGGGGCTTTCACCCCGCCCTAGTAGAGCCTGGCACTTTGAACTGGGACTTCTAGCCTCCCAAACTATGAGAGAATAAACTCCTGTTTGTTAAGGCTATCCCATTTGTGGTATATTCCTGTCAGAGCGGTACCAGGTAACCAGAACAAATGCTGAGGAGGCAGGAGGCAGTGCACAGGTGAAAGAATTGGCCTTATAGCCTGGGGGATGGACACTTCTCTTCATTATGAAGAGAAGAAAAAAGGAAAGGATGGATAAACAGAAAGTAAAGGGAGTGGTGGTGTCTGATGCATTTCCTTTTCTGAGAAATAGGGTCCAAAGTTATCAGCTGTAAGGATTAAATGAGTTAATATGTATAAAAATTTTAGCATAAAGTTTTGTCACATAGCATATGACCCCAAAATAGTACTAGTTGTTGTTTCTTGAGAGTGAAGTAGGAAAGTAATGAGTTTGAGCCAAATGGATGCTTGAAATTAGCAGGATATATGAAAGGACAACTGGTCCATCTGAAGTTGAAAACATTCCTGCCCCCCCTCATTTTTGAAATTAAACTTTTTATTTTAAGATAAATGCAGATATATATTTTGTCTTAAAAAACAACATAGAGATCTCCCATGCACCCTTTAGCCAGTTGCCCCAATGACAACATCTTGCAAAATCACAACTAGTATATAGACATTGATACAGTGAAGGCACAAAACATTTTTGGCATGATGGTTTTTTTTTTTTTAATGTTTTTAATGATGGAGTCTTTGCTGCTAATTAAAAGGTCAGCAGGAGAAAGATGTGGCAGTTTGCTTCTGTGAAGATTTATAGCCTTGGAAATCCTTTGGGGGCAGTTCTACTCTGTCCTATAGAGTTGCTGTGAGTTAGAATCAACTGCAGGTCACACAGTAACAATAACAATGACTAATAACTTTGAACATCTTTTCATGTGCTTATTGGCCATTTGCACTTTGTTGAAATATCAATCCAAATTCTTTGCCCATGTTTGATTGAGTTGTCTTTTTGTTGTTAAGTAGTAGAAGGTGTTTTACATATGTGTGTGTGTATGTGTGTGTATTTGCGTTTATGTATACACACACACACACATACATATTCTAGATATTAAACTCTTATCAGATATATGGTTTCCAAAAATTTTCTCCCAATCTGTAGGTAAAGTCTTTTGATGAACAAAAGATTTTAATTTTGATGAATTCTCATTTATTTATTTTGTCGTTTGTTGCTTGTGTTTCCTCAGTATCATATCTAAGAATCCATTGTTGAACACTGGATCTCAAAGCATTGCACTATGTTTTCTTCTAAGAATTCTGTGGTTTTAGTTTCTACATTTTGGTATTTCATCCATTTTGAGTTAGTTTTTGTTTTTGTTGTGAGTTGTGGGTCCAGATTCATTCTTTTGTTTGTAGAAATTTTGTTTTCCTAGTGCCTGAGGCATCTGACTGCTAACCAGAAGACTGGTGGTTCAAACCCACCAGCCACTCCTCGGAAGGAAGGCTGGGCAATCTACTTTCATGGAGATACTGCCTTGGTAACCCAAGGAGGGGTTGCTATGAGTTGGATCTGACTTGAGGGCAATGAATTTGGTCTTGGTTGTTTTTTTTAGCATCATTTATTAAGGAAACTAGTTTTTCCTTACTGGATGGATTTAGCACCCTTGTCGAAGATCGATGGACCATAGATATGTGGGTTTATTTCTGAACTCTCAATTCTATCCTATTGGTTAATATGTCTATAATTATATAAGGACCAGACTGTTTTGATTACTGTAGCTTTATAATATGCTTTGAGATTGGGAAATTTGAGTCCTCTTACTTTGTTCATTTTTTTTCAAGATTGTTTTGGCTATTAGGGAATCCTTGCAGCTCCATATAAACTTGAGGATTGGCCTTTCCGTTTCCGCAAAGAAGGCTATTGGAATTGTGATGGCTATTGCATTGAATCTATAGATTTCATTAAGTAGCATAAACATCTTAACAATCTTAAGTCTTCTGATTCATGAGCATGGAGCAGACTATAATTGCGTTTCTTTTATATACAATGTTCAGGGTATTTAGTTGGACTTAGTGGGACGAATAGGGAAAAGTACATCTACTCCATCTTCCTGGAAGCCAAAGTCCAAAAGGCTATTTTTCTTCCTTCCTTCCTGATCTATCTCAAAATGGTGTGTGGGGGTCATGTCTTACCTCCTCTAACTTCACAAGGGTGAAGGAGAGTCATTATCAGCAGGCTAAGGCTGATTCCTATGAGGTGGATGTCAGACTTGTTTCCACCCTCCAACCTTTTTACCAGTTCATATACCAGCTGTTTCTCCCACGGTACTCTAGTTCTCTTCTGAGTTTGATAATTTTTTCAATGGGCACACAACACACAGACAATACTCATGATTATGAGGTTTATTAGGGAAGGTTACAATTCAGGATCAGAAACAACTCAACATACAGTTCTTTGATCAGGACAGCTGCTTTTCATCAGTACTGCAGCAGGCCTCTCTGTGGTCCTACCCTCTCCCTCCTTGAAGGGCCTCTTGGGCCAGCCTGACCTCTGCCCTCCTCAGACAAATGTTACGTAGCTCTTTTAGCTCTGCCATTAAGTGCCCAGAGGCATCCTACTCTGCCAGTAAGCCTTGACCCAAAGGTGCCTAGTTCTAGTTCCGTGAGTCAGCAAACTAGCTTCACCAGGTGCTCACAGCACCCTACACCACCACAAGCCTCCTGCATCAAGGTGCTCAACTTTCTTGCTCCATGGTCCAGGAAGTCTACTACTCTGTCTCTTGCCAGTCTCCTGGTTCTGCTGCCACTGTTTCTTTGCCACTGCTTCTTACTGTCTCTGGTGTTACAGCTCTCTCTGTTTCCTGGATTAAGGAAGTTCCCAGAGCAGTGACCATGGGTCCAAAGGACATGCTCTGCTCCCATCTGTTCTTCTTGGTGGTAGTCACGTCCCCTCTTTCTGCCTCTAGGACAGCTCATTTTAAGCCTAGCGGCTTGGCAAAACTGATCAATCCCCATGTTAGGGTTCCAGACACCTTATTTGCAGGATCCTACCCCTGAAAGGGTGCCATGCCCCTATATACTTAATTAGCAAGCTATCCAATCTCCTTGAAGGGCCACGAGCACCTCACATTGACATAGCCCTACCCAGTCATTTGGTGGGAGTTACAAAAACTATGGCTGAAAGGGCCATATTAAGAAATTCACTGCATTTCTGCAGGACAATAGATTTCTCTTTTTTATGGCCTTTCTGGTCTTGAGTTTATAATTCTGCCGAAATAGTTGGTTAGGCTGCAGCCTGCCCTGTGATTGGTCTATTTTACATACTTTGCTGGGATTGATTATCTTACTATGCAAATAGGGTATGTAAAATCACTCAGTAAAATTAAGTGACCTTGTGAGAACTGGTCAGTTTTTGGCCCAGCTGAGAGGGCCAGGCCTTGAAATTGATAAGGAGCTTACTTGTCTAAGGAGCCAACCCGACAGAGGTTTTTAGAGGTACAGAGAGAGAGGAAGAGGAGGAACCTCCTAA